GACCAGCTTACCGGGGCCTCGATCTCCCTCGGCGTCGGAGCTCCCGGCAGCGGTTCAGGCGGCCTGCAGAACTCTGCAGGCACCGAGCGGTATCTCTAAAATAAGCATACTTAAGATCTATCCCACAAATTTATTATATGAATGGCCACTATAAAACATTTTTTGATGGCTGTCCATGTTGATTAGGGGAGTGACATTTGCACACAATAAACATTTATCAATATTTGCATGAGTCGAATAATGTCTGGAGAGAGTACTTTAAAACTGATTTACTATTGAATATATTGATAGATTCAGCTCTGTTAAGTTTTCCACAGTGATGCGGCTACTTTCTATTTCGATCCAAGCGGTTTTAGAATCTAAATCACAGCTTCTTTTAAATCAGGGGGTCCAATCTTGGCAACTTTAAGTTCTATGGACTTGCTGGCTAGGGAATTCTGGGAGTTGAAGTCCATCCGTCTTGCCAAGAGTGGACACCCCAGATTTAAATGTATATATCAAGAGCTAATGTTTATTGAATCATCATCAACACTTTGCACCGAGTCTGAAGTTGTAATTCAGAAACAGTGTAACCCGGTTTAGTTGCAGAATTTGTAGGAGTACCGTTTGGGGTACGACAAGGTTTTTAAACTTTTAGGTGCAGAATTTGTTATTTAAAAAATCCCCAGAAACTCTGATCAAGGGACAAAGCTCTAGTGATTGATAACCTACTGTGTTTGAGTGAACTCTTTCTATATCCTTAATTTCTCACAGAATCTCATCAAGGTCTCACAAACACCTTGGGTTCTGTAGAAAACAGATCGAAAAACCCAGTCTCTACCTTTTAATAACAAAAGGGGCTACCAGATGACTCCTGATTTTCAGTTTAATTGGTAATTAGTGGACTGGCATTAGATCAACACTGTTAAATTACAGGTTCTCTTTAACAGGTTTAAAATCTGTTTTGGTTCTAGAATAATAGGGTAGCCATATTTATTTATTTTTTAAAAATATTTCTGTAGGTGTATGCTTATTTTGTTGTTTCTCTTGTGCCTGTGATTTACCAATCGCTGATTATTATACTTTAATTGAATCCGAGCGTATCATAACACAAGCCACCGTAGGGAAGTCAGCAACATCCAGAATCATAGTTTGTGCTTGGTCAAAGTTGATGTCTCTTTTGGAGGGGAGATGAAAGTAACAGGAGAAGGCCAAGATCCGGCAGGGTTTTTAAACAAGAACTGAACAGGGAATTTAGCAGCAATTTCTTCTTCTTCAGAAACTCAGCTTTTTGAACTTTCTGGACCCTCAGTAGAAACTTACCCTGTGGTAAGATGGGCAAGCCAATAAATTTTATAAATACAGTTTAAAAAAAACAACATCCTGCATGGAATAGTGGAACGTTAAAGTTGTGAGCAAAGAAGAAACTAGTTCCATAAAGTAACAGCTTCCCAGATGTGTTTTTTTTTTTTTTTTTTTTTTTCAACAAAATTTTTATTGGTTTTATTTTACATGGTGGCAAGGCCATCAATTAATCAAAACAAAATCATATTTATACAATTCAAATTATTTCAATATAATTAACTCAGTTATACATATAACTAATCTATTATTATTTTAATATATCCTACTTCCCCTTAAGTCAATACTAGTAACTCT